AGAAAATGAGTTAACGAACCTAAGTGAATATACCTACCATATTTCACATATACTGCAGTAAAAAAGAAAATCACCATGTGATTACTCTTGTAACAAAACATTTTCCATCCATTTTCTAAGCTCCTAATGCCTACACATATACCTCAAGGGGTAAATTCGACAGTATCAATCAAGTCATTGAAGTCTTGCTTTCTGGTGTGTGCTTAGTTGCAACCCATAGTTTGATGTAGCCTTTGAGTGCCGACAAAACTCCAGGAATAAAAAAAAATATAAATTTTAGCGATGTCAGTTTTCGGTTCTTATGCACACACAAGCAACTTAATCTGTACTTTGATTATTATCAGGAAGGAAAAGCTTTAAAGCTACTATCAACAGCATCTCGGCTTGATATCGAGGATTTCTTGCAGAAGAAAGTTTTCCTTGCGGTATGAATTATGCTGATCATCAGTCATAACGTATACATTGCATACATAAACCTTTTTCTTTTCCCTTTTGTTGATTTCTTCAAAAAAATGGAAAGTAACACACCAGTTGAGCTTATGCAGATTGATGTGAAGGTTAAAGAAAAATGGCGGCAAAATGAAGATCTCCTTAAATTCTACGGCTACGGAGGCGAAATTCAAGTTTTATGACATTCGATTTTTACAAGTGCTGCAGCCATTGTATACTGTATGTTGTAAGCAAAAGGTGTTTAGTTAAAGAAATGAGATTTTGTTGGGCACATATGCTTTGCTTTAATTGAAGATGAGATTTTGTTCTCACTATTCGAATGATTAATGACTGTACATGCAAAATGGATATGTTTTAATTACATTTGTCCTTCTTTCATGGAAAGTGTTGTTAAATTAAATGAGCTTGGCTCGGCTCGGCTTGACCTCGGCTGGCTAAGGCTCGAGTTCGTAGCCTTAACAAGCTGAGCTCGAGCTCATTTAAAAGCTCGTTTGGCTAACGAACCAAGCTCGGCTCGGGCTCAATAAGGCTCGTGAAGGCTCGAAATTAAATTTTTATATAAATTTTTATAGTTCGACTCGTTAAAGATCGAGCTCAGTTCGTTAAGGCTTGAGCTTGAGCTCGATTTTAGGCTCGTTTATTTAACGAGTCGAGCTCGGCTCGACTTGTTAGAGGCTCTACTCAACTCGGCTCGGCTCGTTTACAGCCTTTCTGGCCACATGAAGATTGATCAAATGTAAATGCTCTTAATCCATAATTGTCTGAAATTTGGTAAATATTATTTGCTTTCTTTATAGGATTGTCCTGGTGAAACATATATGAAAGTATTTCTTGGTAAATATTATTTGCTTTCATAATCCATATATGAAAGTATTTCTTGGTTTTAAATGAAACGTTAGTGTAACATAAACATGTAATTAGTGATACATTATTAAATCTCACGTTACAGGCAAGAAATCTTAGCTGGGGTGCTCTTTAATCATATGAAACGACGTGAAATAATAATCTAATTTTAATAACGTTACGTGACGCATTTTCAATTTTTTTTTTTTAATGACTGATTAAGCTATTTTTTTATTAAAAAAAAAAAAAAAAAACTTTTTTTGGCATGCATAGTTATCGCTTTGAACCAATCTTATCCCAGAAAGAAATCAGCATCAAATAATTGACACAAAAATCCAAATTCCACTCGGCCTTGTTTTAATACCGCAAAATATAGGGAATTATTATAGTCGTCCGACGAATTTATAACCGTTAGATCATCGTCGTAGATAATTAAACTAACAATTACAAACTCGACAGAATAATTCTGTAACGAGACTGTATAGAATCTCCCCAAAATATATCGTCCCCCAACAATAATTATTTATGTTTTACCTTTCTACAATTTACTCTGTAAAAGAAATTTTATAAATTATGATATCTTATAACATTTGTTGTAAGTAGTACTTATTAATTTCTTAGGTCATCTACAGACAGCCATTTGGCTAGGAGGATACCTACACCTGGAAGAAAACGGACATTTTGTCCATATTTTCATTTCTTAATTATTACATCCAAAATGTTATTCTAAATTATAATGGATTTCATTTTCAGGCAGCCATCAATTTATTTAATTATTTATAACAGTGAGCTCAACTATATAACTCATTGCGTATTGCACGTAAGTTGTGACGGCTATAGTTTTATTCTAACTATTAAAGGAGAAAGAACAATAACGAAAGTCCAACAAACATCACAAGATTGTGAGTATCATCATCCTTGTTGACTCTTGTCTTTAAGTGTATGCATATCAATTAGTATAATTCAAAGGAGTCGTTTGGTCAGGCAGATTATTTTCTGGTAGTAATTAGTTGTAGAAAATGGTGTATTACATTATTGCTAGTTAAATGGTGAAGAATCGCGTCGTGGAGAAGAATCACTACAATTTTATTCTTTTTTTCAATTGAGGGTGAACTCAATTTTTGTAAGTGAAGAATGGAGCAACAACATGGTGAACTCGATTTTTGTTGGGAGTGAACTCGTTTTTGGTTATTTGTTGGCATATGATGTGACAAAAACTTAGTGATGAGTTTAAAAAGTTGAGTGGCACACAAGTCTCATTAGTGTCACGTAAGATTTTGATCGGACATGTCTCCGGAAAATAATTTTGAGACAAATTTGCAACACATAATAAAGATTTAATATTTATTTGCGAAGATAAAAAATGTTGAATTTTAGTTTTTTTTTTTT